TTGGGTATCGATGCAGGATGAATAAACTTCGCGGGGGCTGTGGGGAGAAGGGTCGTCCCCAAACCTTTGCTCGTTTTTGGAAGTGAACCTTGACATTTGTTTTGGCAGGTTCTAGAATGTCTCTCACTTGGCTTCTCAGCTACGTGATGCCTTTGTGCCCTGCCCGTGTTTCTGGAGCTGGGAGCGGAGCCGGCCGAAACGGGAGGCAGGGCTGTCCAAGAGGAGACGTCTCCCGGGGCACCTCAGACTCTGCTGGTGATGTGCGGTTTGTTCTAATGAACGTCACACCTGCCGACATCTCAGTTACCCCAGGAAATGGGGGACACCATGGAGCTTCCATGTGTGGAGCCGATTCCGACTCCTGGTGACTCGTGGGTATGGAGTAGAGAGGCTCCGCTGGGTTCTCCAATGCACTTGGTCAGGTCTGACAAGCGAGGCACCCATGGGTGGTTTCCAATTGCCCACTTTTCTGCTAGTGGGTGAGTCCTTCTATTTGCCCCACCCGGGGCTTCGTTGTATGTTGCCCTCATCATCACCCTACGCACAGCAGAAGGGAACATTGCCCAGCCCCACTCCACCCTCATAACGGCTATGTTTGGGCCAGTGGCTACAGCCTCTGTGTGTCACTGTCTCCTGAAGACCCCCCTCTCTTTTGCTGAGCCTCCACTTTACAAAGCATGATGTCCTCTCAGGGACCTGTCTTTCCTGAGGACACGTCTGCAGTACATGGGGCCAACTCTCGCCAGCCTTACCTCCAAGGAGAATTCTGGCTGCATCCCACTGGTCAACCGGTGCCTCTTCGATATCTACTTTCAGGAAACACCCTTAGCGGGTCAATCCCTAAGGAGTACAAGTTCCGGGCACCCAAACCCATTGCAGCCCAGTCCACTCCACTCCTGACTTCAAGCCACCCTAGAGGCAGAGTAGAACGGCCCTTAGGGTTTTCCAAGGCTGTCAATCTTTACGGAGGCAGACTGCCTCATCTTTCTCCAATTGTGTGGCCAGTGGCCTGAACCGCCAACCTTATGGTTTGCAGTCAGGCCCGTATGCACTGCCCCGCCAGGCGCCTTTGTTCCTGGCAAGTCTTCACAAGGCCAACACCAAGAGAGAGCCTGCTGGGCGGAGAAGCAGCAGTGGGGGCCTGCCCCTCAGCTTCCCGGGGAGGATGTATCGCGCTTACCCCAGGTGGAGGGGCCTGAATTACAGAACCATCAGTAAACCCTATGAATCTCCACTCAGATAGCCTTTTGGCGACAGAAAGATAAATCGGAGGCTCAAAGCCAAGCTCATTTAATTTTCACCTGACAGCCAGTAATAACTGAAGCCTCTTATAAAGGTTATGTTTCAATAAAAATCTATTACTGGGCATACAAAACACACTCGCATTAATTACATTTTCTTGGCACTGCATTTGCTAAAAGGTCAAGAAATTGTAAAAAAAAAAACAAAAAAAGGTGGGGGCGGGGAGCTAGGAAGAGGCTTCTACTTTATTATCTGAGAGCTTTCTTTCTTTTGCTCAGGAATCCAATCACACACTCTCTTCTTTAATGAGTTGCTACATTTCATTAAATCTGAAGATGGCTAGCCCAAAATGCGATCAGACATAGAACAAGGACCGGCTCTTCTCTGCCACGTACGTTTGCAGGTTTCTGAGGCAGCCCGTGTCTACGATGTATCTTGTCTGTCACGAATGAATGTCTGAAAAGAAGAAGGGATGCAGACAGCAGTTCTTCGAAAGGTGTCTGTCTTCACAAAAGGTGGTACTCGGGATGATTTCTATGAAGAAATTCCCAAGTCCGTTTCTTGGAAGTTTCCCAGGAAGTAACAGGGCTAAGGAGTGAAGTGGCGGCCTTTCTAGGAGGTCTGATGCTGCCACAAGTCGTACAGAGTGAGGAGGGAGACCATTAAACACCCAAACCAAGCTCACTGCCATGGAGTCTGTGCTGACTCATAGCACGACCACCTGCTGGTTCCACAGCCCAGTCTCTCTCCCAGGAAGATCAGTTGCAGCCCAACGACTAACCGCACCAGATCCTTAAGAGATTAGAAACTTCCCTCAGCAAAGGGAAAGCCAGCAGGGCATGGGTGGGGCCAAGGGAGCCACTGCCTCTGTGAAGGCAGAGACGAGTCGTTCCATTGGCAGCTAAGATCTGCTAACGACGCACGCGCCATGTCGAAGAAAACCACAAGTCAAGGGAGCACAGTCAAGAAAAGATTCTGATGGGGCTCTGTTCTCTTGCTTGGAAAGTTAAAATAATCATAATAAGTATTCAAATCCTCCTAGGTTGTCCGTGGTGCTCAACTACACAGAGCAAGACCTCAAAGCATCATGGTTTTCTTCACCCCCAGCACGTAGTGGACTGCTGTATGCACACCGTTCATCTCTCATCTTGACTTGCAACCTAGGCTTCAGCCATGGAGACTCTGGTGGAGGATGTCCAGCGATCTGGAGAAAAATGGAAGCCCCACAGCAACTGGCCCCACCGACGGGGAAGGTCCATGGCGCGGGTAGGGTTTGTTGGAAGATGTCGCCCCTCAGACCACCCCCACTGGGCCTTCGCACTAGAGAGTGTATCTCCTTCATCCTACAAGGACCTGCTCCAGGTGTGCCGGGTGCTCAACCAGAGCCCGTGACTCAGAACTTGGCCTCGTCTGAGCTTCCTACTTGGATCCTGGAAAGCGGAGACACTCGGGAGAACCGATGTTATGCCGGATCCAAGCAAGGGCATTTTCAGTGGTCCCTTCTGCATGTGAAGAATACACGCATTTGGACTAGGATGCTGGAGAAAAATATAGAAAGCACCACGGGCAGATAAAAGAACCAATGAGTCTGTCTTGGAAGAAGTACAGCCAGAATGCTCCTTGGCAGTAAGCATGGCGAGATTTTGTCTCTCATGCTTGGGACAGGTTGCCAGCGGAGACCGGCCCCTGGAGAAGGACATCATGTTTGTTGAAATGCAGGGGCAGTGAACGAGAGGAAGGCCTGGGACAAGATGGACTGACCCAGTGGCCGTGTGGCACGAGCTCCATAAGTTTAGTGAGGCTGGCACAGGACCAGGGGCATCTTGCTCTGTTGTACATAGGGGCACTATGACTCAGAACTGACCTGCTGGCACCTAACAACAACAACAGCATGGCATACAGCACGCCTCAACCTGATATGACAATGACCACTGTCTAGAGAGATGGCCCTTCCGTAAACGTCGCTCCTCGTGCGTGGTCTGCAGGCTGCATCCGCAGTACCGCTAGGGGACCTGGGAGCAGGGCAGGGTGCCAGGCACCACCTCTCCCCTATGGACTGCATTCTAACAAGAAACCCCGGTGACTGGTTTGGATGGCCTGTGTCGGAGCACAGGATAATACCTTTCGCTGCCTTCTCATTGAGACAACTTCAAGCGCCACGGTACGCCCCTCTGGGGAAGTTGTACTCTGTCCCAGAAGGTCAATATGGGGCAGAATCAACTGGGCAGTCACGCGATTTGGGTTTGGTTTATAGATACTTGGAAATAGTATTTTCAAATCTACTTTAAAAATTCTCTATCCTGGTAAATTTATAGACTAAGGTGACCAGATGTCCCACTTTTGGCGGGACAGTCCTGAGTTTTAACATTTTTTCCCTGCGTCCCGCAGTGTTTTAAAAAAGTCCCGATTTTTGGAAAGAATGCATGACAGGCTGGGGTATACAGTTTTCGGCTGCCATGTGGCTATTTCGCCAGGATATGAGTTTTATCAATGGTGTCCCGCTTTACCAATGTTACAATCTGGTCACCTTACTACAGACACCGTCATCGGTTTACTAGTTCCCTCCAGTTCTGACAGGGGACATTGAGGGGAAGCAGGGAGCTGACAGTACAGAGTGCAAGCATGAGGGAAAGGTTCTCACGTTGATTGTGGTCATGGCTGCCCAACCCTTTCCAATAGGTTTCAACCATTGAATTGTATGATATATGAACTATATGTCAGTAAAACTGTTAAAATTGAAAAAACGTCCCTATCCCATGGAAAGACAAATATTAGTATATAAGAATAAATACGTGATTGCATTCTGTTGAGTTGGGTTGGGTTCATAATGAAACTAGAGAGGACAGAGTAGCACTGTCCAATCAGGGTTCCTCAGAGCCTGGGTGGCGCAGTGGTTACACGTTGAGCTGCCAACGGCAAGGTCAGCAGTTAGAAACCAGCAGCCACTCAGAGGGAGAATGACGGGGCTTTTTACTCCTGTAAAAATGCCAGTCTCAGGACCTCACAGGAGCAGTTCTACCCTGCCCCATAAGGTCACTATGAGTGAGTTTGTTTTGTTTAATCAGGGGTGCTAGGCTGTAGGTCTTTACTGGAGCAGACTTCCAGGGTGCTTCTCCTACAGAGGTCTGGGGGGTGGGGGCATCCTCAAACACTCAGCTGCTGACTGAAAAGGCGGCGTTTCAAATCGACCAGAACCCGCAGTTCCGTAGGAAAAAAATAAGCATAAAAGGGAACTTACTTTATATAAATGAAATATGTATATACATACATAATATGTACATATGAATAAACTGGCATATATGCAAATAAAATATGTGTGTGTGTATGCGTGCTACTGGAAAA